ACACTTGTGAACTTTATTTAAACTCCTTTGTCGCCTGTGTTGGTTTTTTTCTTATTTTTAATAAGGGTGACTGAGGTTGCAGAGAAATTAATGTGTGCTGAGTCTGCATAGCAACTTAAGTAGGGTTGCCACAATACACTCTGTCCCCACCTCCCTGAGACGACTTTACATAAAGTCAGGGTTCAAGCATTTTGGTGCCTTACTGGCTATTGTCAAACTCATTATAGTAATGCTGTCAAACCGCTTACTTACTAATAATAAAAGTATTGCAGGAAATAATTTTACTAAGAGACAAGTAGTTAAGTGAGAAGCAGCACAATGAAAATGACTTAGAGGTGATTTGAAAAACAAGTACCGCAATTTTTCAGATGGAATAATCAAGGTTAATCCTTTAGAGTTGTCTTAAAACTGATATCAGTAATCCTGGTCCATCTAACAATTTTAATAGCATTAGTTATAATCTCCTCAAGGAATATTAAACACTCCTATTTAATTCAGCTATAATGCTGTGCTTTGGAGCGATGCATCTCTTCGGGCCAGTGAACTGATAATTGGTCCATTGAGTCTAGCTATTGTGGCAACCCTATGCACATAACAACAACTAAATTGAGTTTGTTTTAGTTCGGAGTATGGATATGATGCTTAGGCACGACTCACGTATCGACTCTAACTCCCTCTCCCATCTTTCAACAGGATACCTGCTCACTATGTCTATCCACAGGCTTTTGTGCAGCCTGGAGTGGTAATTCCCCACGTGCAGCCCGCAGCAGCCGCTGCTTCTACAGCGCCCTACATCGATTACACCGGAGCTGCGTATGCCCAGTACTCAGCCGCTGCGGCCGCCTATGAGCAGTACCCATATGCTGCCTCACCGGCTGCTGCTGCCGGGTATGTGGCAGCGGGGGGCTATGGCTACGCGGTGCAGCAGCCCATCACTGCAGCAGCGCCTGGGACGGCTGCTGCGGCCGCTGCTGCTTTTGGCCAGTACCAGCCCCAACAGCTGCAGACAGACCGTATGCAATAGCAGGTGGACTCCAGAAGGAAGCTCTTTCTTTCTCTTCCTCTTTTCAGCCTTCCAGTATAAGTAGTTAATCAGAGACAACTGGTATTAAGCAAGGAGCTTTAAGGAAAGCGATGCTATTGCGAAACTAAAGATTTTTATTCCACTGTCTTCATACAGTATTGCATCCAAACCGTGTTGCTAGAGCGGAGGGGTAGTGTGGCATGTGTAGTTTCAAGTATCGAGCCAGAAGAAAATGGGAAAAACAATACTGTACTGTCATGAAAGAGTGGCAGGAGTAGCAATGGGACTTCATATTTTCAAACAAAAAAAGAACCAACCAAGAACCAAAAAAAGCAAAGGTGTATTTTTTACAGTATCAGGGAAGCAAAACTGCCTTTTATAAGTAATAAAAATGGTATTTGAAAACTTTGAACCAGGGAAAAAACTGATTTAGCAATATGTAATCTCTATCCATTTTAAGAGGAAACAAGCTTAAAGCACTGATTGTCCTTTCTAGCTTTCAGAAATTGTCTTCATGAGATAGTACGTTCTCTCTGTCTCACTAATGGGCATCGAACAACCCAAGGAAGATGGCCGGCTAGTAAGATGGCGGACAGGCACCAAAGTTATTTTCTTCTCTGTCCTCTGGATGAGTGGAACTATGGAGCAAGTGATGTGGAAGTAAGGGGTGCAACAGCTGTAGAGACAATCAATAACACAGACAGTTCTGGACAGAACACATCACTCGTGCTCATGTGATGAGCTTGTCACATCCTAATCCCTCCTCCCATCCCGTTTCACTTTTGGGAAACTTTAACTGCTGGTGTCAGCTATTCTGATTCTAAAATAGGATCAGCCCTTTACTACAACAGCCTTCTCTTTCTATTTATTGCATCTATTCGTAACGTGAATAAAGGCAGGAAGAAGCTTAATGAATTAAAACCTTTTAAGAACTGTTTTAAGGGAATTCTAGTTTCTGAAACCATTTGTACAATTATCTTTTTCAGGATTATATTTAAAATATTTATTAGCAAACATACAGTACACAAACAGCGACTTTTGTTACCAAGACTGCAGTTCTTGAAGGGTTAATGGTATGTGATTTATACTGTGCCTTAATTGTTATGCTATTTAAAAAGAAATATTTATTTTGAAAGTTTTACTATGCTGCACTCTAAAGAAAGCGACTTTAGATGTGACACTGTAAAATTATGTATTCATCTCATGGCATAAATTATTTAGTAGGCTTAGATGTAGCATATTAAATATTAACCTAATTAACTAAGGATGTTGACTTGGATTTATTTAAATTCAGTATGTGCACTGTATGAGGGTACTCTTAACACTTTTTTAGGTTTTTACATAAAAAAAATCTAGTTCATTCTTTTTCCCTTTACTAGTTTTCCATGTAGACCTCTCAAACACATTTGTGCTGTTTTCTCACTCATCTGTATGTAGACTGACTATTTTCCCCTTTGCTAGAAAATGCTGCTTTACATTGTCCTGTGAAACTACAATACTTGCAATTTTTATTCTTGACCGAAATGGAATTTAATATTTTACACTGTATCAGATTTTTTTATACTTGAACAATTTCATACAAGGGAAGACAGGATAGCATTTTTATGGACTTTATCCAATGTCACTGGATTTATTTTAAGTATTCGGAATACTAGCCAGTGTTATAATGTAGACATGACTCTCCTGTGCGTATTATTTATTCAGTATGTATATTGCTTTACAACATTTCAGATCTCTTGATCTATTCACTAGTATTAAAACAATAAAAAAATGTTGTCGCATCCGTCTAGTGATGTTCTTGCTTGAGTTGTCATAGATCTTGTTTAGTTAAAATTAAGGGGGTGGCAACCTTTTATGTAATTTTCCTGGTCTGTGGGCTGAATAGCAGCATAGGCACTGACTTGAAATACATAGACTGATATGAACTATATTAAATGGAGGAAATCCCATAGAGAAGATCTATCTAGAGAGTTACCATAAAACAATTCAGAGTGGAAAGGACTTCAGGAGGTCCCAGGTTGCTTATCACTTTGTCCAGTCAGGTCTTTAAAATCCTCCATGTGGAGACTGCACAACCCCTCTCAGTAATCTGTGCCACTACTTATTATTCCCATACTGTCATTTCTTTTTTTTTTTACCATCTATCTAGCCAAGCTTCTCCTGTTCTTTTATAACCTTCATCTCTCATTCTTTGGCAGAGAGCCCAGCCATATCTTCTTGGTAACCTCCTCTTAGGAACTGGAAAGTTGCTGTTTTCTTCTGCAGGCTGAACAAACCACAATGCCTCAGCCTGTCCCCACAAACCTCAAGCTGCAACCTCCAGCCATCCTGTTGGCCCTCCAATGGAGTCATTCAAGTTTATCAACTTTCATGTACTTCATGTACTTTCATGTACTTCATGTACTTTCATGTACTGGGGGACTCAAGACTGGACCCACTGTGCCAGCTGTGGTCTAATGAGTACTGATTAAAAGGGAATAATCAGTTCCCTTGATCTGCCACCTGTGCTCCTGTTGATACAGTCTGATGTACTTTCATTGCTGCTAGAGTTTACCACTGACTCCTGGTCATTGCTAAAGATATCAGATAGGACAGACCCCCAAGGAACTCCACTGTAACCAGCCTCTGGAGAGAGCATGAGCCCTTCTGGTCAATGATCTGCTCAGTTTTTTGCTTATCTAGACTGGGCCATCTGAAGTTGGATACAAGAATTCTATGGGAGACTCCATGGAAAGCCTTGCTGAATTCCATGTAGACAACATTCTTTGTTTTCTCTTCATCATCGGATGAAGTCATCTCATCACAGGAGGCAATTAGGTTTGCCCTTGTAAATCCATGCTGGCTATTTCAAATCACTACCACCTCCTTCATGTGCCCAAAAATTATTTCCAACATTGCTTACTTCATGACTGCTCTGTAGTTCCTTAGATTGTCCTTCTTACCCTTTCTGAAGCTGGATGCATTATCTGCCCCTCTTCACTCATGGAAGACCTCTCCAGTACCCCTTCAGAGACGATTGTGAGTAGCCTCACAATGACAACAACCAGCTCTCTTAGTACCCTTAGGTGCAGCCCATCTGGTTCCATGCACTTAATGCATTGATATTCCTCAGGAGGTCCCTGAATCAGTCCTCTTCCACACCTGGCAGTTTCTTTGTCCTTGAACCCTCCCTATAAGTGAGTACAACATGTTGCTAATAAAATCCTAAAGGCCAGGGCACCTTTTTGCATGTAGTGCTTGAACTGGGAAGCACTGAAATGGCTGCTCAGATCCAGTTGATGGTGAATTTGTAATCTTTAGGAATACTCAATATTGCAATGTCAGTCCAAGCCACTAATAGAATCATCGAATCACAGAATAGTTAGGGTTGGAAAGGACCTTAAGATCATCTAGTTCAAACCCCCCTGCCATGGGCAGGGACACCTCACACTAAACCATGCCACCCAAGGCTTCATCCAACCTGGTCTTGAACACTGCCAGGGATGGAGCATTCACAGCTTCCTTGGGCAACCCATTCCAGTGCCTCACCACCCTTACAGTAAAAAACTTCTTCCTTATATCCAATCTAAACTTTCCCTGTTTAAGTTTTAACCTGTTACCCCTTGTCCTATCACTACAGTCCCTAATGAAGAGTCCCTCCCTAGCATCCCTATAGGCCCCCTTCAGGTACTGGAAGGCTGCTATGAGGTCTCCACGCAGCCTTCTCTTCTCCAGGCTGAACAGCCCCAACTTTCTCAGCCTATCTTCATACAGGAGGTGCTCCAGTCCCCTAATCATCCTCGTGGCCCTCCTCTGGACTTGTTCCAACAGTTCCATGTCCTTTTTATGTTGAGGACACCAGAACTGCACACAATACTCCACACTAATGACCATACACTAATGACCATAAGCAGTTGCTACCTGATGGCTGAAAGAAGCTTGTGTGAAATGCATGACAGTTTTGGCCAGTTCTTTGCAGAACTGGGGGAATATTCATATAATCTTCATACTGAAATTCATTACCACAGCTGTCACTGTATAGAGACTTCAGCAGAAGCATAAGCTTGACTGCAGAATTCGAGCTGTTCTTTCATCCACAAAAGTGGTCTTTTTCTTCTGAAAATGAGGGCAGAAGTGAAATAGAAGTGATAGAAAAGACTTGGGGTCAGACTTCATTTCACCATGGAGGATGAGACTCAGTTGTTCAAAACTGGTACACTCGCAAACACCCTGGGCTGATGCTGTCATGTTCTGTTCTCAACAAGTGCTTAGAGTCTGCCTGCTGAGAAGCATTGCCAAACTGCCTTTTGCAATCTGACCTTAAGATCTGCAACGTTGCAGAGCGCAATGTAGTGTTCTTTCTGCTAAGCATATACACACCCAGCAGGGAGGTGAGTAGGAAACACTTAATAAATGCCATTTTCTGTTCTGTTCTCCTGTTTTCCTGCCCTGGTCTTCCCCAGAGAGGGTCTGCATACAAGACAGGATATCAAGCAGGAATTAAACCCAAAGGTCCCTCTGAATGGAAGACAGAGGATACTGATGGCTCAGAAAACCATGTGGCACAGTGACCTATTATTTGATACAGAATGGAAAAAGCATCTTTGCCCTACTTATATACAGACCTAACAATGTCTTTGGGCCTTCTTCCTCCATCTGTCAGTGACAGACACCCCAGGGTGGGGTGTGAAAGGGAATGCTTTCTGCTCTGGAGGGGGACTGTGTTGTGGTAAGCCACAACAGGAAGAGAAACAAATAAAATAACTGAGAAATAGCAGCTCTTAATTGTGAAATAGGTGAATACTCAGCAAAAAGTGTTAGCATTTTACTTCAGAGATGGCATATATGTAAGCAGTAAGAAACTGCATGTGATACAATTTCCAGTTGTGTTTCCAAAACCCTCAAAAAAGATTTCACACTGAAAAACTACCACTTCTGAGTACCTTGCAAGGGGAGGAGAGAGAGAAGTTGAAACTTGGAAGTACTTCAAAGGAGTATGTAGATTAAAAAAGGTGTAATACCTTGAAAGGTTATACTGATGACCTGGCTGCTAGAATTCTAGTTTTTCCTAATATTTGTATATTCCTGTTAACTAGTAAACATAGCCTGGCATTACTACAGTTTATTGCATCTAATTTTTCTTGGATTTTTCAGACACATAAAAAGACTATATTAGGGTTAAAATAATGATGCATTATCATCAGGTATTGAGCCATTTCAGACCAAGCAATTCCCTAATTATGCTCAAAACTCTGTGAGAGAAAGCATTCTACTCTGAACCTGTGTTTCAGTCCTAAAGAGCCTGCATATTGTGATTTGAATTGTCTTCAGTTGAATTTCAGTTTATTTTCCAGGTTTTTAGTACAAACAAACATGTAAGGAAGTGTATTCAGAATGCAAACTATGTAACTTTTGGTTTGTGTTTTCCTGTGTGCTTGAACTTCAAACTATTCGATTGTACTTCCTCAAGCTAGCAATGAAACAGGCTCTGGGCAAAATCTACCTGTAAAAATATCAGGGCCTTAGGAAAGTTTTAATGAAAAATTTTTGAGCAAGTAAAAACTGAAGATTATAATGGAATTTGGACTTGTAACTATCACCAGAATACACACTGCTGTGAATGTGATACAGTAAGAAGAATGGGAAGAATGGGATAATGCAAGAAAAGGAAAGCCACTCAGCCTTAGATTATTAGTAATTTTACCACATATCACAGCCTATTGGCTAGCAAGACCATCTTGTAAGAAGCGTGCTAGAAGTTTACATCCAGTTGTTCTTTGTACATCCCTGAAAACAAGAAGTACTCTTTTAAGATACTTCCCTGCATTCATGGCACCAAATTATTGGGCATAAGGATTCCAAGGAACAAATTCATTATACTGTCATATACTATATTTAGCAAAACCAAGAAAACACCCAACAGTAGCAGCAGCTAAACATTTATAAGGACTTTGAAAATAGCATGGTTATGTGTGAATTTACAAAATGCTTACTATGGCTCATGACGGGCTTTGGGGGCTTGTTTGCAGATTCTACTTTTTTTGTCTCCAAAGCCCAGTGTAAAATTATGAGAAAAAAAGTAAGCTTGAGATAGTGTCAAAGAATAACAAGAAAACTACAACTATGACTGTGTCCAAACATGCAGATGTGCACATAGTACAATTATCAACTTTTCTCAACATAAAGAAAATTAGGTCAGGAATGTTTCTCAGTTCCATGTGCCAACTTTGCTGAGATAAGCCATGAATCTGGGCTCGCTTACACTATCATTATTTTTGACCTAAACAATCTGGGAACAGGGAGGAACCACCAAAATCTGTTTCATCACCACACATCTGAAAGTCCAAAAATGCTATCCAGATTAATTTGTGTGAGGTCTCTGAGGTATATAGACTCTATAGCTCTGTACCCTCATGTTAATCTTTGGACCAGACTTCATTGTGCCTGTTGCTTCTTCTCCCCTCTCTAGATATGGCTACTGTTGGTGGTGCTCTCCTCTCTTCTACACAGGGCAAGGGCTCTTGCAGGTGCCCACTCACTTTCTACTTGAGACTTCAACTGGGTAAAATGTTTCAGCTACAGTAAGAAAACCCCAGAGTTTTTCATCTCAAATTTTATGAAATCTGGGAAAATCTTTACAAAACAGCACTTCCTATCCACAGTAGACCTTCTTCTGAATTCACAGATGCCATTCAAACCAGAGCAAAAGATGTCAAAATGCCAAAACTGACAAAAGTGGATTATAAACAACTCAGTGAAACCATCATGTCATTCAGCTGCTAGAAGAGTTTTGTCACTGCACTTGCAAAGGGCATGAATCAATCTTTATCACTTGAAGAATAGAACACATTTTTATCCAGTACCACAGGTAAGGCATTTTGCCATCCTGTGAGAAACTTTAACTGGTTTGTTTTGGGATTTTTTTTTCTGGATTTGCAGTGATGACAAAATTAAGCTAAAATTTAAAACACTGCAGTAAACAAAATTCCCTCCTAGGAAAAAAATTAGGTAATCTTTTAAAATATTTTGTGGTTTTATATTAAAAAGAAACCCCCAAAAAACAAACAGAAAAAACTCACCACAAACCCACAACTTTTAAAAAAAAACATAAATTGATTAAAAAAATATATCCCTGCACTCAGAAAGTACAAAAGTAGAATGTTCTAATTTTCTCCTGAGAATTGACTAGTTTTCAACAGAAACAGACCAGTGTATTTTTCAGCTGCTTCAAAGGAAGGACTGATTTAAGGAGGTGATCCTGCACTTCCATTCTGCTCTTGTGAGACCCACTTGGGTGTACTGTGTGCAGTTCTGGTGTCCTCAACATAAAAAGGACATGGAACTGTTGGAACAAGTCCAGAGGAGGGCCATGAGGATGATCAGGGGACTGGAGCACCTCCTGTATGAAGACAGGCTGAGGAAGTTGGGGCTGTTCAGCCTGGAGAAGAGAAGGCTGCGTGGAGACCTCATAGCAGCCTTCCAGTATCTGAAGGGGGCCTACAAGGAAGCTGGAGAGGGACTCTTCATTAGGAACTGTAGTGATAGGACAAAGGGGAATGGGTTTAAACTTAGGGAAGTTCAGGTTAGGTATAAGGAAGAAGCTCTTTACTGTGAGGGTGGTGAGGCACTGGAACAAGTTGCGCAGATAAGAGGTAAATGCTCCATCCCTGCCAGTGTTCAAGGCTGGACAGAGCCTTGGGTGACATGGTTTAGTGTGAGGCATCCCTGTCCGTGGCAGGGGTTTGGAACTAGATGATCTAAAGTCCTTTCCAGCCCTAAACCTTCTATGATTCTATGATCACTTGCTCAAGTCTGCAGATACCATCCTGTTGCCAAAAATTTGGATTACCTGGCTATCTGTTCAAACCACTGGAATCCATCTCCTAATTTGCTCATTAGTAATATTTCTGAATGAAGATAGAAATAATGAAAGTCTAGAGGCAAATCTTGTTTTTGCTAAGAATAGCTGGAAAACTTGGGAATGTTTTATGCAGACATGTAAATAAGTAGGCAAGAGGAACCAAAGAACAAACAAGTAGAAGCACAAGCTTTTTTTCAAGGTTATGTCCAAAGCTTTTTTAAGTGATGGCCCATCTCAATTATACTGTAATTTCTTCATTACACTAGTGGTGAAGGACCCTTAAAAGTGGGCTGTTTTCTTCGACCACTATGCTCTCTTCCTAGCTTTGGAAGATGTTAAGTAGCACATTAGTGCAATAAGAAATGTCCAAAAGAAATTTTTTTTTTTCAATATACATACTATGGAGTAGTGTGCATTCCTTGGCATGCATGTATGTTATGAGCACTATCTGAGGAAAACCTGCTCTTCATAAATCAAGTCTTAGGTATCACAGTATGCAAGTTTATGTGTTAGTATTTCCTGATTTTCACCAATGTTGGCTTTTTTCCATTAGAGAACAACTTTACCAAGTAAACTCTTTTTTTCATTTTCTATAAAGTGCATCCTTTTGCTAACCTGAGTGCCATCATAATTTATACTTTTTTCACGTAAGGGAGAATACAAAGATCTTCAGGCTTTATTCTTTTGTAAATGTCACCAGTTCCACATACACTACTGTGTCTTGAAACTGGTTTTCCTCTGACCTTATCAAGAACAGCAATTTTCCTGTCTACTCTAACGACACCTGGGATCTTGCCAAAAGAAATCAGAATCTAACGTAAAGCTCTGAGAGCAGCAGTTGAGTGTGAAAACAGAAGCGTGCCCATCAGCCTTTGGAGGGCTTGTGTCAAAAGAGTGCTGCCCCAATGTGACTGCAGTACCCAGCTGAGTGAGCACCTGAGAAGGGCACACCACAGTTGAAAGGCTTTCTTTTGTGAATGCATTGGTTTAGCTTAACAAAGGCTAGTAGGCAAAAGGCAAACAAAACAGCACTGTAGTGTCTTTCTGTAGAAGAAAGTCTTGGTGACCACTGGAATTTCAAAGAATGAAGCTGGCTTCAAAGATCTTGTACCCTGTCATATTGAAATAAAATGCAAACTGTATGGAGTGCCTTGGTCTGATCTCAGCAACAGCAGTGGTGCTTGCCAGCAGTTCTCTAAGAACACAGGTTGGCAGAGATACAAACAGTGTGTGGAGGAGGCTCAAGGAATCTGGC